TGAGCCAAGGGGGTTGCTGTGCCCTTTTGCTACCCTTCTTCCAAGATGCGATGGACATCCCTTGTGCTGTCAGGATCACTCCCTTGAGGAACAACCACTTCTTTTGGACTCCTCTTCTTGTCGAGTCACGGTTCCTTTAGGGCCTTGACTATGAGCCTCCTGAGCTTGTCAAAGTCAGAATTCCTAAAGTCAAAGACTTCTGCATTGCTGACTGATTTGCCAGCTTTGCAATGGATAGTAAAGGTGATCAGCTATCACTATCACCCAGCTTTCCATCAATTCTTAGGTCACTGACTAGATCTTCCCCTTTGGCCAGTACCAGGTCCAACAATGCTTTACGTCTTGTTGGCCTGTAGACTTCTTGAGTCAGGTAGAGCTTGTCCATGCATGTGAGGAAGCCTTGTGACTGATTGGATTTGGCCAAGTGCTCTTCCCTGCGGGTGGGGGCAGCTGTGGCTCCTGCCCTGGGCCTGGGGGACAGCTCATCCTGCTCTGGCTGCTGCCTCCTGCTGTGCTGACCAAGGGACAGAGCCCATGGCTTTGAAATAGGGCATGGGGGGGAGGGGCAGGCAGACCATGGGGGACAGGCCATGGGAGGTGCCTGAGCCCAGGGCCCCAGTGTATCTTAATTCACCTCTGAAAGTTTCAAGCTGCAGACAAGCAAAGTGATTTTAACCACTGTGTTCTTGACGAAGCATAAGAGAACAAGAAAGAACAATCCACAGAAGGGGAGTCTGTGGTATTTGAAGTGAGAGAGAACTGAAGGCACAGACATGCATTCAATTCATAGGGACAGAAGAGACAGATGAGAATTTTTAGTCTTCTTCAGAAAGAAATGTAAGATTTGATGGCATTCTGGAAGTGTAATAGGAGCTGAAAACAGTACTAAGATTAGGAAGCTGGGTAATAGGGCAGCTGATTCTGTTGTCAACAGCAGGGGAGCAGGGAAGAAGAGAGGACAATTTGGGAACTGATAAGCTCAACTTTTGTCTGGTGGTACCATATGGCAGATACTTGGAGAGAGACACAAACAGAAATGTAAGAATGGACAGAAAGGAAGAAAGTATAGAGAGACAGGTGGGCTATGGATTTGAGTAATTGGTACAGACATGGCAAAAGTTAGGACATGCCAGTATGGAGGTTATCTGTGCAATTTTAATTTGGCCCCCTTCTACACACGTAATATGGTACAGTTTCTAATTACATTATACTGTTTTCCAGAGCACCCCTTCCTCATTCAGTGCACAGGAGAAACAGTGGTCACTGAAGGAGAAGCTATTCACTACTTTATTTCATCCTTATCATTCAGCATGTGACCTGTTCTGTTTATGGCACACTATGCAACACCTGCTCTGAAAGGCAAATAATTCATTTCCTCATGAGATTTTCTACAGCACTCTTCACTTTGGCATCTGAGTGCTTCACAAACAAGAATGAATTTCTTTTCAACATACACATGAAAGGAGTACTCACTCATTACAGATGGAAGAACTGAGGCATAGTAAAAAGGTATCGTAATATGAGATGCCTAGGACTTGAGATTTTAGAGTACTTCATATTATACAGCAGGGTCAGCAGCCTGTTATTGGTGTGGGTTGGAGCTTACAACCTGACTGCCATTGTGGCCCAGAAGTCTGCCCAACCCCCGGTGCTAGATCAGATCTGGCCCACAGGCCATACATAACTGACCACTATTATATAGCAGGAGCTGTGAATATATTCAGTGCTGACTTAAGTTGCAGCTGTGAGTGTTCAGTATTCTTGCAAATCAAAACTCAGGTCTCTAGTCTGGCACCCAGAAAGTGAGGAACATACAAACACTGATTGTTTATGAAAAGCTTAGCTTGCCCAATATCACAGAGAAGCTCTGTAGCACAGGGAGGGATACAACTGAGTTTGCCAAGACAACATTCAACCACCTTAATTATAAGGCTCATTTCCTGAAGCTCCCTGCCTCTTTCACCAAACACCTTCTAAATTTCTGCAACAAGTGAGGTAGGAGTCCTACAGACAACAAAATTACAAACTTGAATTCATCCCCAAAGGAGGTCTTTCCTGTGTACTGAATGAAGTAAGGGCCTGTAGTTAAGGACTGCATCATGTGATTAAAGACCGATTCACAATGCACACACATGTGGAGGTAGAACTGAGGTTACACAGACCTTTGTTCTGTTATTGCCTACCTTTGGAGCCCCAAACTTTGCAACCACAATAATATTCTTTTAATATAGCTGACAATTTCCCAGTGTTTTTTTTCTTTTTAAACAGTGAAACCAAAAATCCTATCATGTGGCATCACACTGACTCCCATATGGTTCATAAGCAGGGTTCTCTATCTCTTGAGCTAATGGAGTGACTGACAGCAGCAGCCAGTTGTCATCCTGTTAGATGAACCAGCAGTAGTGGATGAAAAAATACCTTGATACCAGATATTTGCTGACAGCAGAGGAATGGTAAGGCTCAAGAAACCTAGGCTTTGGAGTGGGGCAATTACTCTTCTGCCTGTTCCCCTCAAGCATAACCTTTTCTGACCTATATCCTCTACTGTCTTGTTTCTCCCTTATCATTGGCTCCATGGCTTATTTTAATTTAGTCAGTTCTAGCCTCAGTCTCTCAGGCTTCTCACTCCCATCTTTTTTACTAGAAAGTCCTAGTCTTAACCTTCTGGATTCCCTGTCCTACCCCCAATCTTCTCTTTTCCACACACCCCAGGCCTTGTCTCCTTACCCAGCCAGTTCCTTCATTTCAAATTCCTCTTTTGTTTTGCTTCCTTTCCCCACTCTGCCTTCCATTTGCTTCCTTCACTCAGTCTATCCATACAAACAGCTCACAGTCCCATTCTCCCACCTTGAGCTTCTATTTCTGTATCAGTATTACCCACCTGGCCACTCCTTGTCCCAGTCTCTTTGCCTAGCCTTTCCCAGTTCTTCCTCTGCATGTTTCCTGCTCATCAGCTCTATCCCGTTCCTCCTCATCTTCCTGTTTCCCTAGAAATATCATTGTCCAGCTAACCCCAGGTAGTCCCCTGGCTTCTCATGTGCAGTAATCTTAGCCCTGCCTGTTTTCCTTCCTGGCTCCAGTTCCAGTCTCCTTACATATCTAGTCCCTGTTTTCTCTGGCTCCTAAACCCAATCTTCTTGCCAGTCCAGCCATAGTTTCATAGTAGTAGGGTCGGAAGGGACCTGAGCAGATCATTGAATCCGACCCCCTGCCCTGGCAGGAAAGAGTACTGGGTCAAACGAACCCAGCAAGGTGTACATCTAGCCTCCTCTTAAAAACCCCCAGGGTAGGAGCCAGCACCACTTCTCTTGGAAGTTGGTTCCAGATCCTAGCCGCCCTGACAGTGAAGTAGCGCCTCCTGATATCTAGCCTAAATCTACCCTCTGCCAGCTTGTGACCATTATTCCTGGTCACTCCTGGTAGTGCTCGGGGGAACAGGGACTTCCCCAGTGCCTGCTGGTCCCCTCTGACTAGTTTGTAACAGGCCACTAGATCCCCC